AAGAGGAGGGTCTGGGGAGACTTGATAGTGGCATTTCAACATCTGAAGGAGGGCTATTAGAAAGAAACTCTTTAGCTGAGTCTGTTGTGATAGGACAAGGGGAAATGGTTTCAAACTAAAAGAGGAGAGATTTAGATTGGACATAAGGGAGAAATTTTTTACAGTAAAAGGTAGTGAGGCACTGAAACAGGTTGCCCAGGGAGGCAGTGGAAGCCCCATCCCTATAGACATTCAAAGTCAGGCTGGATGGGGCTCTGAGCAACCCGATTTCATTGCAAGGTGGTTGAAGTAGGGTCCTTCCAACTCGTGTGGCTCTATAATTCTATGCCATTGTAGTCAGTATTTTTTTCTGGGAGGTCTGAGTATGAGTTGAGTTTTGCTTTCATTTCTAATGGGAGTGCACAATGTTAGCAGAAAAGATAAAAATTGCTGATTGCCTTTCCTCACAAGTAATGGTAGAAAATAACTGCTGCAGTCTGATATTACGTAAGTCACTGTGAAGAGTGAAGTTTGACATGTCTATGAAAGCAGTCAGCAATTCCACAATTTCTTCATTACTATCATCAGAACTGACATCTCTCTAAGAGGTGTGAACCCAGTTTACCTTGCAAAGTTTCTTTTTTGGACTCTATGCGGTCCCAGGCAGAGAGCAGATGGTTGGCATGAACTGGAGTTGTCACGACTGTCTTTGCGGACAAACTTCTAACAGAAACCTGGTTAGTGGAGCATAACTACTTTGTGAATCGGCCTGCAATATCAAAGTAATTTACGTAGCTTTGTTGTCACACTGTGTGCAGAGCTTGGATAGTGTCTCCTGTTCACTGCAATTGAAACACTTGTCCTTCTTCCAGCAGTAAACTTACAGCTGCTAAAAATAGAAGCTATCAAATCCTACCTTTCACAGTAAGCAGAAGGAATGAGTCACATGAGATAATGATCTCCTGGTCCCACAGGGCACCTGAGCAGACCTTAAATTTTTTAAAAAATGCCTGTGCTAAGGCTGAGCTTTTGTCAGATTCAGCCACACTAACAGAAAAAAATGACTGCCTTTCTGGTGGAGACTGCCGTCCCACCAGTGAACCGTGGGTCCCGAAAGTGTTCCCTAAATACAGGAGAGATTCAGGTTGGATATCAGGAAAACTCTTCACCAGAAGGTGATGGGTGATGAGCATGGAACAGGCTGCCCAGGGCAGTGATCATGGCGCTGAGATGCTGGAGTTCATGGACCATTTGGACACTGCTCTCAGATATAGGGTTTGAATGTGGGTGATCCTGTGTGAAGTCAGGAGTTTGGATCGTTGTGAGTCCCTTCTGACACAGGAGATTCTGTAATTCTGTGGGTCAGCACTTTGAAAACAGGTAATTAAGCCCAAACTGAGTGAAGAGAAGCAGTAGGCAAGCAGGTGAAGGCAACCAAACTACAGTTAAGTTAAAAGGAGAGGAAGAGGTGGAAGGGCTACTTTCCAAGTCACCGAAACTATAAGACTGTCACTCTTGCTGTTATCATAGATGGAAAAACTTGAACACTTCCATTACACACTTTTTTACCTTTAGTCCCTTCGTTTTATGTTGTATGTGTGGCTATACTTCTGTTCATATGTGATAAGCTCAGCTTGGGCTTGAGAAAGAAGAGCTTCTGAGAACAGGGATTAAAAATGTAATGATGGTCCTTGCTCTGAGGAGAGGAAAAAAGGTATTTTTAACCCACTGAGAGGCTTCAGATCTGTATGTATAAGCAGTAGGTACATCTTGTGCTTTCATTTTCACAGAAGAGGAAGAGAATGTATACTGTGTGTTTGTGCTTTTTTTTTCCACATTGGAAAGTTAAGATGTAGTGAATTCATGATGTCAGAAAAAACTTATCTCACATGAATCATCTTGTGTATTTGTTTAAATTCTGGATGTGCATCAAACATGCATATGTGAAACCAGGCAGCTTGAGCATGAATCATCACCATCTAGTGGCAACAAAAGGCATATGAAAAGATTGTAACGCCACACGCACAGTACTTGTAAAGCACCATCTCTTCTGTAATCAACCACAAAGCCCAAAACAAGGGAATCTTGCATTTCCCAAATATCTTTGGAATGGTACTAATCCATAGTGGGTACCAGCTGTTATTGAGAAGCAGGTGTCTGCTGCTGACCCTCCATATGCCCCAGGTGCCACAGTGCTGTGGCAGGATGGTGGGACAGCCTCCAGTCCCAGGGATGTCCCTGGACACTACTTCTTTCACTGGCATTGATGTTACCAGCAACGCATACCTAATTGTAGGGCTCAGTGGCAAAAACGGATCTCCAGAGGTCAGGTGGCTTTGTGTCCCTCTTGTCAAATGTCTTGATAACTGCTCCTGGATACATGCAGTGGCATGGGCTCCTCTTGTCCTTTCCAGTGCATCACTACCTTCACAACAGAAAGCCCTTCCTGATGCCCTCCCTCGAGGTACTTTTGGACCATTTGTTTGTCTGTTCAGCTCCTTTTCCCTTTTGGTCATTCCCTCGAGAATACTCCTACCATGCTCCACTCATTGCTTCTTCCCTGGCTTTTATTTTTCCTTGTGTGTCTCTATAGTTCATTATTTCTACTTAAACTCAATACTTTGGACCTGTCACTGCCTAATAGCACTTTGTGTTTTTTCAGAACATGGTTGCAATTTGTCAGTGGAATTTTGTCCTCTCAGCTTCGTGTCATCTGCAAATATGTTAACCAGACTTCATTTCATCATCCAATTTGTTAATGAAAACACCAACTATCCCCAAGCCCAGGACAGATGGGTCAAATTCCCACTGCATAGTTGCGAGAATCCTTTGTTTTTTGGCTCAAAGCTTGCTTCCTGAGGTATTTTTTGTGATAAAACTCTGATTGATTTATTGAGGAGGAAAGTGATGGGTGCTACCGTGTGACAATCAGCATCGCTTTGTGGACATTTGAAAGCCCCTTCCTCCAGAGCTGCTTGCCTCTGGAATAGAGTGCTCAGGAGTGTTTACTGGCAGAAGATCTGGCCTGGGAATAAATAGCTCCAACTTGGTATAGGAAAACTGGGAAATGATACCATTGTGTTCTGTGAAAAACAGGATGCAGGTGGGCATCCCTGATCCCTCTTATCTGCTGGCAAGGCCTGGAAGATGGGAACGAAGGAGTTTCTGCTGAGATCCCAGAGCCAGAAGTTGCCATTTCAAAGTGAGTGACTCAACCATTTTGGATTTGAGCTGTCACTCCAAAGACAGCTGACTCAATCAATTTGGACTTACAAATAAGCTGGTACTACCATTCAAAAGTTGCCATCATTGCCATGGTCACCATCGTGGTCAACAGAACAATGCCAGAACACCCCCACTACTGAAGATCAGTGACTAAACTATGAACCACGCTGGATCTGTGGTGGTGACTATCTTCCTCTTGCTTCCTATAGAGACTCCTTGCTTCTTCTTTCCTATCTTTTCTATTGCCCTCCTTCCCTTCCCCATTACCCTAATTCACAATAGTGTCTGTCCTCCCCTTCCCCGTCTCCCTGATTAAGATCTGTAATAAACTGGTCAGACCAACATTTGAACCATTGTTCCTTAATCTCACGCCAAGTGTACAGATATTAGAAGAACCTCCTCTCCCTCCTATAAATGGGACAAGACAATAGTCCCCTCTACTTAGACAGAAAATCACAAATCCAGCTGTTCTGAACCCTCTGTTAAAGGGTGAGAAGGGCCTTATAGCAAAAGAGAAAAAGTGAGAAAAGGGCTTCACAAAGAGTAAGGATGGGGGGGGGGGGGGGGTTAGGAGGGGGGAGGGTAGTTAGAGGTAGCTTATAGAAGCAAGAACGTAGAGTTTGTTAGAAAAATGAGGAATGGCAGACACTGGGTCTGGGATAATGAGGGGGGTGAAGACCATAAAAATAAAGGTTTGAGAACAGCCCGAGAACATCTGGCAGTGAGGTGAATAAGTGTTCACAAGGCAAGCAGAAACCAGTTTGTGGGCTGCCCTTCTCGCAGGTCAGAAGTTTACAGCAAAGCAAGACTATGTTTCTTCATCCCACAGCCACCAGGAGGAGACCCTCACTCACTACGCACACACAAGGGGGAGGGTCTGCATGCCAATGGGTTCTCAAAAATCTTGTGAATATGTATTCAAATTCCTGTAAATAATTGATTATGTATTAGTTTGTCCTATATCTGTAGCATGCTTTTTCCTCACGGTGTGCAATTTATGCGGATCGATCCCCTTTGCACCCAGTGTATACGCATTGCTGGAATAATCATACCTGCTTTTTAATCTTTCTTGGGTTACAGAGTTTGATTCCGCACGTCCAGCACTGTAACCAGCTACTTACAGTAGCTCTGGTTTCATCTAGACATTTTCTTTACTTTATACTTTAAAGAATCATCTCAGAGCAAAAAATTTTTCAGGAATCAAGCATTAAGAAACATGCTTCTTTTCCTCCACATACAGGCTTACTAATGTGTTGCAGTAGAAAATCAGATTAATATGGGATTGTACATACCTAATAAACTCTGATAAAGTGCCTGGTACTCACCTGCACTCATCCCATAAAGATCTGGCAACTGATCATTTGTTCCAGTACTTTTCTGAGATGGATATTATCAAAACTGTTTTTTTAATTCCTTTTTCCTCCCTTTTTTCAATACATGTACCTTCTTGCATGTATTTCCCTTTACTCATCACATTCTTTTCCTTTGGTATTTCTCTCTCATCTTTCCCTGGGCCAGCAGTGAGATTTTATGATCCAGTTCTTCAGTGTCCTATGGTGAAGTTCATTAGGCCAATCAAATTTCATGGAATCATAGAATCATAGAATCATAGAATGGCCTGGGTTGAAAAGGACCACAGTGATCATCTAGTTTCAACTCCCCTGCTATGTGCAGGGTAACCAACCACTAGATGAGGCTGCCCAGAGCCACATCCAGCCTAGCCTTGAATGTCTCCAGAAATGGGGCATCCACAGCCTCCTTCCATCCACCTGTTCCAGTGTGTCACCATCCTGCCTCAATTTAAAACCATTCCCCCTTGTCCTATCACTGTCAACCCATGTAAACAGCCATTCCCCTTCCTGTTCATATGCTCTCTTCAAGTACTGGAAGGCCACAGTGAGGTCTCCCCAGAGCCTTCTCTTCTTCAAGCTAAACAATCCCAGTTCCCTCAGTCTTTCCTCATAGGAGAGGTGCTCCAGCCCTCTGATCATCCTAGTGGCCCTCCTCTGGACCTGTTACAAGAGCTCCACATCTTTCTTGTGCTGGGGGCCCCAGGCCTGGACACAGTACTCCAGATGGGGCCTCACAGGAGCTGAATAGAGGAGAATTTGAAAACACCTGATTTATCTAGGTGCTAAGTATGGTAATTTATGTAATTCAGAGGTTTCAGCAACCATGACAATCCTCTGTGTCTTAGTCCAGCTGTAATTAACAAAACACTACACCAGTGGCAGCACTGAACTTGATGGAGGTTATTCTCTTGTCCAAACCCAGCTCCCTGCGTTTCTGTAGCCAGTCTCCAAGACTGAAGGAAGAGAATTCAGCATTTTCCAAATATCTTTGGAAACAGTCTGATTAAGTTAAAATTCTGCCTTTAAGGAGATTTACATTTTTTTCTCTTCATTCCTTTATTTTATTTTATTTTATTTTATTTTATTTTATTTTATTTTATTTTATTTTATTTTATTTTATTTTATTTCATTTCATTTCATTTCATTTCATTTCATTTCATTTCATTTCATTTTTTAGTTGCTAACAGAGGTATGTATGTATAAGCCTGCTCCTGAGATGACTTTTTGGACAAGCACTCTATTACAGAGTGTGAGAATCCAGCAGCAGTTCTCACTGCCATACCCATACACCTGCCTAAGTGTTAAGAAAGCAATCCCAGGTTTGCTGGAACTTTATTCGATGGATTCTTCTATACCCTTAAGGTGATTTCTGACTTGTTCATATAAGTACTGCTCCCAGGTGGCTGGATGCATTTGCTCCTCTTGCACCATGAGAGTGAGAGGATGGCCTGCTGGAAGTTATCTCCCATCACAACGTACAGCAGAAGGTTACCACAGGTGTTGAGTGCAGCCAGAGGTCGAGAGATGATATAGATGGTGTGAATCTGCTTCTCAACATGACAGCTGACAGGACACAACTGCAGTTCAACCCGAGCAACCCGAAAAAGGTGGAAGGGGAGGAAGGACACATAGAAGACCACCAAGAGGATGATGGCAAGTCTGCGAGCCTTCTGTTTGTGGCTAGCCTGTGTCTGGGGCCCTGTGGCCAAGGCAGAAATAATAAGTGCATAGCACAGAGTCACTGTCACCAGGGGCAAGAAGAAGGCCAGGCTGGTGAGCAGCCAGTTATACCACCTGATTGCACCCAGGTTTTCAGAACTGGTGAAGTCAAGGCATAAGGATCTGTTTTGCTCCTCTCTTGAGGAGATCAAGAAATTGATGGGACTGACAGCTGCCAGGGAGATCACCCAAATGAGTGCACAGGCCACTGTTGTCCACTGCTTCCTTTGGACTTGGAAAAATTTCATAGGGTGGACAATCACCATGTAGCGGAAGGCACTGAAGCAAGTGAGGAAGAGGATGCTGCTGTACAAGTTGAAGTGGAAGCCAAAACGAATGAACTTGCACAGGAATCCCCCAAAGATCCAGTGCTCCCCATTGGCATAGTAGTGTATCAGGAAGGGAAGGCTGGTGAGGTAGAGCAGGTCTGTGAGTGCCAGGTTCAGCATGATGATGGTGCTGCTCTTCCAAGGCCTCATCTTGAAGCTGTAAACACAGATTGCAATAACATTTCCTGGGAAGCCCACCAGAAAGATGATGCTGTACATAACAGGGAGGTACAAAGTCTTCAGACTGACTTCTACATCGGTGCAGTTGGGAAAATCACCTCCAGCATCTTGCCAGGTCGTGGGGTTGGCTAAATCACCACTTGCTGTGTTCATGTTTCTTCCTTAATGCTTTAGGAAGAGAGAAATACTTAGTGTTCTCTGACAGAAAAGACCCTGTACGAGCCTGTTAAAAACAATGAATAACCAGGTCTTACTTCAAATTCCCACAACTGCCTCTGTTATAGTGCCTTTATTAAATAAGAAAAGGCCTTGCTGCTTTGGTGAGAATTAATCCTGATCTATAGGCCTTTTGTTCATATTTATACAGATATAGTAAAAATCGTATTCCCACATATGTATTTTAAGGGAAGGGTCTCCACAGGCAGAATGTAAGGGACTCCAAGCACCACAATGGGTGATGTGCGTTCCTCAGTACATAGAGGTCACCTTCTGCTCTCATCAGGGCTCAAGTGCAGCAGAAAGACGAACAGGTTGTGTTGTGCCACTGACCACAGGCACAGAGAGGAATGTTCAGAATGTTGCTGCTACATAAAAGCTATTCACATCATTGTTAATTAACTGGAAAAGAAAGCAGATGTTGAAATGTTTGCATATTCTTTTTAACACTGGAGTTTGGTAGCATTTTTATTCCTGCTTCTTGAACAAAAACAGATACACGAATATTTAATTTTTTTAGTTCATTAACAAGATTAATGTTGCAAAGAAACAGGCTATTTCTAGATTTTCCATTAGCTGCTATGTAAATGTCTATTCCCTAAAAAAAATTTAAAGGTGATTTTCTTATAGACAGTAGCCTTCAAAGTTCTCTGAAACATTTGAAAAAATGTGGCCAACTTTGCAAAGCAGCCGTTCTCAAGATATTTTCTGAGAGTTGATCAAGATTCAGTGGACTTAAAGATAGTCATAGAATCATAGAATTGCTCAGGTTGGAAAAGAACTTCAAGATCATCAAGTCCCCTACTACACAAGTCCAACCTCAACCTAACCTAACCTCAACCATACTACCCTAACTCTAACAACCCTCTGCTAAATCATGTCCTTGAGCAAAGTACACAGAATCTGCAATATATAGAATCTCCAGTAGGAAATATGGGACCAGTGAGGCTCATAGGAAATGACTGCCAAGGTCATGTGCAGTAAGAGCTCTTGTGTGGATTCAGGTTTTGTTTTAGAGCTGTTTTGATGGGAAAAATATTGCGTAAATTTCAAGTGTAATTATTTCCTGAGGTAGGCAACCTCTTACAGGGTGCTGTCCATCCTCAAATTATTGTGGTCTGTATCTGTTAAAGAGAATCCTACAGAATCATCCATTTCTTGTTCCACCTTGAATTTTCTTGATGTGGCTCCTACCCTCGGTCACTTTTGGGATCTCACAGAGACAGGTTCCAGGATTTTAATTCAAATTTGCTTGGAACATACAGATGAAATGTATTTAACACAGTTACTGTGTGGATAAATCAGTGGCATGAATTCAGGTGTACAGCAATATACACAGTAGTGTTAGCATTCCACCCTGTATGAGAAGGACAGGACCACCTGAGAAAAGCCAGTGCTGTCTGTGAACCTCTGCCATATAGAGAGATGCATATGAATGAGGTCAAAGAGAAGATGATGTGGAAAGATGGCTGGTCAGAAGAAATGCAGTGAGCTGTCGTACCCAAACCAACATAAAGCCACCCATATGGCTAATGTTTAACCAGCCAAACAGCAAAGGCCCTGTTCCACAGCAGCACGCTGCCCATATTGGGAGAACAGCCCTGCTCGCAGCGTGGTGTTTGTAGTGTGCACCTGTTAACTGAGCTGAGGGGCATGGCTGGGTGCTGCCTCCTGCACTTTCTTCATTGGTTTTCTTAGGACTATCATTTTGTCAACAGCATTTTTTCCTGCCTACCATTGCGTTGGTGCAGCAAATCCATAAGAACAAACCCATAAGGGCTGTAGGGCAAATGCTTACAACCATCAAAAAGTGTGGTGGCAGTAGCAGTACTCAGATGCTGCATCCATGAGGACCACCACTTTTTCCCAGTGGTCCCTTACATTATGGGTGAGATATCTGACAGGGCAGGGTTTGGGTCCCAGGCCAGTTAGGGACATCTGGTATGGGGACAAGCACTGCGAGAAGAGCACTGAGTCTAGGGGTCCCCCTTCTGACCTGCCATAAGATTACGCCCAGTGTAACAGGCTGCCAGTGACCAGAGAAAGCAGGCAGCAAGTCTTTGCTGTTGGCCTTATTATTTCACAGTCAGAATTACAAATAGAATGTAGACAAAACTTAAATCTAATTAAGCAACAGTTTGTGCTGTGGCAGATTTTATCACACTAAGTAATTGGCCGTAATGGGACTTCTGCAGCCTGAGCTGAGGGCAAGTGATATATGCTGTAGACACATAATGAACTTTAAATAAATTATCCAGGAGCAGAACTCAAAATAAAAGGGAGCTAGATTATTGAAATAGAAACCCTCTCTTAGTCTTAGCAGTGGAGCCACTGCTCCATTACACGCTGTTCTTTACTGTAACCAATTGATTGGAGTCACTTAAAAATGTTGTGATTGCATGACTTTAATTGCAGTCACGTAAAAAGGAAACATATTTGCTCCTGCATTGTGATAATTTAATTAGAGCCTGCTGGAAATAAAAGCCAAATGTCTGCAGCCATGGAAAAGTAACCTAATACCCGTAATTGGACTATATTTCACACAGATGTGTTGCTGAATAAATTAAACACGATTTGGCTCACAGTGTCTGACTCTTCCACTGGCTCAGTTCTAAGAACCTCAAATGATATTTTAAAGGGTGGAGATATGAGTTCAACTTTCCTCAGTCTGTAAAATTCTATGAGATATCTCCATGCAGAAAGAGTATGTGGATTTAACCTGAGTAGTGGATGCGTTCCAGAAAAGATAAATTTGTTGTTAGTTTGTTCCATGCCTTCATCTCCTTTAACTCTTTGCTCATTTCTCCCCATTTTGCCCTCTCTCTGCGTCCACAATGTTAAAGCAAAATAGACACGTTACCTGCAAGTCCTCAGCACAATCTTCTCTCCTCCTCATAGCTGGACCCTTAAATATCCTGCTCCTGGTGCAGTGGGGTGATCTGGGAGGCTGCAGAAAATCCCCAGCTAAAGGCAGGTCAAGGGAATGCTCTGTTTCTGTTTACAGCTCTATGCCAGGTGAAGGCAGCGTGGGCAGCCCCAGCCCCTCAGACCTGCGTGCAGACTGGCTGCCACATCCCTGTGCCAGCTGCCCTACCTGGCCTCTGCCTCTTGCGTTTGATGTATGGGACTGGCCCAGAGTCCATCACAGCATGGGTCAGGACTGCCTGTAACCTGTCTGGTTTGGCTGAGGCAGTATTTTTTTGGCTTCTTCCAGCCTGCCAGAGGTAAGTAACCTGTGCAGAGAGAAGCAGCACTACAGCAGGGTCTAAGTGAAGGAGCACCAGTTCATCTGGTTCCAGCACATGGGAAGTGGGAGATGTGGGGTGTTGTGGAGAAGGAGCAGGCTGTAAGCTAGAGGGAGCTGCTCTGAAGAGGGCTGGGTGGATGCTGAGGGCAGGACCAGGCCCTGGCCTTTCCAGAAAGGCGCCTTTGTTGCCCACACTGTGAGCAATGTGACCACTGCCTCTCCTGTGGGGAGGAACTTGGAAGGAAGTCAAAGAATCATAGAATCATTAGGGTTTGAAAATACCTCTAAGATCATCCAGTGCAATCATCAACCCATCACCACTATGTCCACCAACCCCGACCCTCAGTGCCACATCTACCTCTCACTTCTCTATCCCTCTCTCCCATCTCTCTCTCTTCTGTCTCTCTCTTCTGAAAGGGAGGAAGGACACAGGCACCTTTTTGGGTGCTGTGCGACAAGTGTTTTACTTCCCTTGCACATTGACCTGCAAGGAGCATGGGCTTGCCCAGAAGTGCTGAGGTGATTATGTGGGAGGAGGCAATTAACCATTTTATGGGATGACTTTGCTTTCTGGCGTGGTGCCACCCGAGACTATGACACTGCTGAGATTTCCTGCAGAAACAGTGTTTACACGTATTGATTGATCTCTCCTCCCATTCTTTCCAATAGTTTTGTTTCTTGGGATAACTGTATTCCATTGTGGACAGTCATCTTGTTTAAAAGCAGCAATCATTGCTCTAGTTTCAAGTTTCTCTTCTTTTTTTTTTTCTCGTTTTCTTTTTTCTTTATTTTTTTTTTTTCCTCCATGAAGAAAACAAATAAACTTTTTCAAAAGCATAAGTACCAGATTTATTTTGAATCAAATATTTGCAGACAGGTGGGAAAGTTATTATCTTTAGAGGGAAATGTTTGGTTGAGGCTGAAAGGAACTTGAATGTTTTCCAACGCTGAGTTTCACTTCAGATCTGGCATCATTGCTCATTTGAAGCTATTATTTACTTTTTCATCATGATAAGAAATGTGAACTTGGAAACACAGGCAGTTATGTACTGCATGATGTAATGGTGAATTTGAGCCTCAAATTAATCTGCAAACAGTGCAATTTAAATAAATACGTAACTGCTCTGTTTCCTTACCTTTATACAACGGCTGTGCTGAAAGTCATGCCTCCTATTTTATTATGTTGGCCCATAGCACCAGAGGCGGATGTTGGTGGTAGGGCAGTAGAGGTTGAACCTTCCCACCAATATTCCTTTCCATATTGTTGCTGTGTGACAGATGGCAGCAGAGGGGCAGTCTGACAGAGTGATGTCTGACATGAAAGTGCGTATGAAGAAAAGGGGTGTCACTGAACTCCTTCACACCGAAAAAATGGCACCCATTGACATTCATTCATGCTTGCTGAATGGTTACGGAGACAAAATAGTAGGTGTGAATACATGAGGCAGTGGGTGATGCTTTTGAGCAATGGCAGCATGGTTGTCAGCATGTCCCTGAGAAACAATTGCTATGAACCACTGTTGTTTTCTTGTTATCGAAAAGAGCTGAAACCACTTTTTACCATGTGACTAGCTACTACAGAGTAGTACTTTCATTACTATACCTCATGGAAGCCATTTTCCAAAGGGCATTTTAGTTCAAATTTGTGTGGAATAAATTTGTCAGTTTATTTGAGAGCAAATTTAAACAGGAATGGTGGTAGCCATGCTTGCATTCATGGGAAGAGACTCCTGGCATCAGTACAGTGGGAGTTGTGACAGTCCAGGCTGGCATCAAAGCACAAGTATTTCTTGGTGGGAGTGGATACCTACTGAAACAAATCCCCTTAGTAAAGCAGTAGATTCTTCAACTACTGAAATTTTTAAATCAACACTGGAAAGTCTTTTGCATGAACACTGGTACAGTGGCAGAGCAATGTGAGATGATGCCATCATACAGCTTTATAGGACAAATTCAAAAGTTTCAAAGGCTAGAAGAAATTCTAGAAGACTTAACCTGATTGTTGTATACTCATCACTAAAAGGTTTTTCTCAGAATTCCCAGTAACTATTGTTTGGCAGTGTGTATTTTCTTGATTTTTTTGTTGTTGATTTTAATAAGGGACAATCTTGGTTTGAAGAGAAAGGCAGAATCCTCTCACTCCCTTGATAGTTTGTTCTGAAGGTGAACTGTGCCCACAGCTGAAGTCACATGCTTAGATTTTTATACGACTCTCTCTGGCTTCTGCTTCCAGACTTCCACCCTCTTCATGCCAGTCTCTGCTATAAGAAGAAGCCGGTTTAGCAGTGTTTTTTGTTCAAATAAATAAACACTGTAACTCAATCACCCTTCATATTTCTTTCTTATTGGGAGGTGGTTGAGTCACCATCCCTGAATGTATTTAAAAACCACGTTTGAATGTGGTGCTCAGGGACATGATGTAGCAGAGGGTTGTTAGTTAGGGTAGTGTGGTTAGGTTGTGGTTGGACTCGATGATCTTGAAGCTCTTTTCCAACCTGAGCAATTCTGATTCTATTAGGTTGGCAGCTTTAGGGCATCCCACTGTATGCCTGAGCTTCTACAACGTATTTTCTCTTTCCTCCCATCAGCCTTGTTAGGTAGAACATAGGTCCTCCAGACTCCACCCCACATTTCTGCACCTTGGACAGTGTGGTCAGAGCCAATAGCATCAGACTCAGAAATACCATGCATCCGCAGTGTGTATGCACAAGCCAGCTCTGCTCATCTACCCCATGTGACACTGCTGAGTGACATTAGAGATGGCATCTTCTGCACGCCTGACCCCCCTGAACCCTAGTATGCTCCTGCAATGCTTGTAATCCTACCTGCTTTGAGGCTCTCTGTCTCTTCACCCACTGATCTCATTGATTTTTCTTCTCTATATGACTGATGCATCAGTTGATTACTGTGGGCATCCTCCCATAGGGATAGAGAAAAAGAGACATGATCACTACATCCATCTTCTTGATAATCCTCAGTTTTTCCCTTGGGAATAACTTTCCTTCGACTCCAATTTGACATGGTGTCCCCAAATTGCAGCTGTCCCTGCAGCAAGGAGCTCTGCAGCAAGGAGGTTTTTCTGCTATAGCATCTACACCATTCCTTCTTTTAGCCATTCACTCCCCTTTCCTGTGCCAAATACTTCCTTCCTGCATCCATTGGAAAGCCCAGACTGCCAAAATGTAATGCTAATGCCCCTGTTATTTTCTTGGTACATTTGTCCCCAAGAAAGGAGCAGTGTGCCTGCAGGACCTATAAATACAGACAGAGGCACTTGAGATGGTGCACAGGAGGGGTATCTTCCTGTGCACAGCAGTCTGACACATACAGTCCAAAGATGTACACCTGTTTCCAAATAACTTCCACATATTGTAGTTGAATATGGTGAAGCAATAAATAAATAAATAGATAGATAGATAGATAGACAGATAGAATGCCAGAAGAGCCTGCGGAAGCTTGACCAACAGGATGAGTAATTGGTACATTGGTCTTTGGTGTGTTTTATCTGTAGTATTTTTTCTTTATTTAAGTTCAATGAGACTGCAGCGCTATGATAAGTTAGGCAACTGCTACAGAATATATATTTCAAGGATGGGTTATCTCATATATCACACTTAAGGGCTGGCTGACTGTGTCTCAGCTAGGAGTTCATGCTTCTCACTTTAGTTCTCTGCTTTCATATCAGTGTTCATGACTTTGATGTTTTTTCAAGCTGTCTCCGGTATGGCACTGAGGAAACCTCTCTCCTTCATTATTGTGCTACATCCTGCTGAGGGTTCCTCTTATCTTTGTCAAGGGTGGGTGTTGCTGACAGATCGTTCTGCAGCTCATTGCAAGTTATTTCCTCATTCCCTTTCCCTGTATGGTTTTACAGGTTGAGCTATTTACATGTTGTATTCTTAGCAGTTAGGGATGAACCCTGCTGCTTTTCTTTAGCTACAGTGGTCCAGTTTAGGCAAAACAAGGACAGATGTTTTCAGTAACAAAGTGCCTCACTGGACAGACTGTGTATTTGATCTAACCTTTCTCAGCCCAGAATCCCACAGCTTGTAGAAATCTTTAGACCCCTCCTCAAAACGAGGGAGGATTGGGCTGGCTGATTGCACACCCCCAATTCCAGAGAGCTTCTGTCTTCTTGATTTGTTGATTTTTAAATGTTAGTAGTGTTGCTTTATTCATAAATGTCCTGTCTTCTGTCCTGACAGAAAAAGTGATGAGGTGCTGCCACAAGCAGCCCAGGGAGTCACTATTCCTGGAAGTATTCAAGAACTGTGTGAATGTGGCACTGAGGGACATGGATAGTGGGCATGGTGGGGACTTGTGAGCTGATGGTTGGATCTTGACGATCTTTTCCAACCTTAATGATTTTGGTACTAACGACTCCAGATTTCATTTTTGCAAACCAACCTGAAGTGTGGGTGATTTACTGCTACTTATTATAATAATGCTGACTCTCACTCATTGCAGTTGATAGAGTCAATTGAAGACCTGAGAGCAGAAATGGTCAGGACCCACATGCATCCGCATCCTTACAAACCAGGTCAGTGTGCACCAGCTCTGCTCTTTGTAACTAACAGCAGATGTCACTCTTGCCTAACGTTTAGAGAGCCATTTCTCCACTGGAAGAGGAGGGAAAAAAGAAAGAATTTTGAGTACTGATCATAATTGCTACTGAGTGAAAAGTTTATTTTCAAGTAGGAAACTGTCTAGTTTGAAAAACCTGTGGTTTTCTGTTGTATTCAGGACTTGTTCTGAATTTCTAAAGAAAGGTATGTTTCAGGACCTTTCTTTATTCACTTCCTTTGTTATTGCTATTATTGCTATTATTACTATTACTATTATTATTACCCTGAGAGCAGTCTTTGAAATTAATGTTGGGGGATTGGTGAGTTGCACAGAACCACCCATCTTCTCCACATTTTGCCATTTTGAAACATAAACCTGTGAGAATATAAAAATAAATTTGGACATCCATGCTACATGTGAAGAGCAAAACAGTACTGCTTCACTATCTGTGATGATGGAAAGACTCCAGCCTCTGCTGTGAAGCCAAGTTCTGCTCTTCTCTTGCACAACAGCTCTAAGGACTCACCTAGCAGCTGTGCAACTCTTTGCAGTAATCCCTCAAGCATCAAGGTATGTAGTTTGTAAAAGAGAGAGCTTTGTACTACAACTGTGTACGTTGCCACACCTGACTTGTTTTTGAATAACTTGTTCAGACTCATCTTGAGTGTTTTGGGAGGCTGGACAGGCTCCCAGACAGGAGTAAAATGAATGTAAAGTGGCAACCTCTGTGAGCACATGTGCTATTTCATCTTCTCTTTTTCTTACTAATTAAGAACCACATTCCACAACAGAAATATCAGATGCTCTCAGAGAGGCGACAACTGTTAGTGCACTTCACTTTATAGAGATATGTGGAATTTGTAGTCATTTCTGACATT